TTGAAAAATGTCAACTTCTACGTTACTTAATACTGTGGTTTTTGCCAAGTCTGACGTCATCCTGTCAAACCCATTCTACCGAAGTCATGCTCTCACCACAAAAATATTCCCAAATTTAGAAAACCAGCAGCCATTTATTCGGTTACCCTAAAAACTCAATTGTATGTGGGTCCTCCAAAATGACATAAGTGTCTAAGTTAATCGGTGCTGTGATAGTACAGAACACCACCTCCTGTGACTTGAGTCTGCTCCTGTGTTGATAAATGCTGGCACTATCAAAAACCTGTCATTTCTCTTAGATGTGCAATTTTACAGAAACTAACTTTTTCACATGGCTTAATTAGATTTTGTAGCAAATAAGTGTCTAAAACATATGGAAATGGAGCTCATTAGATTTAAAGCAACTCTTCATCTTTAGAACTGTCAGAGTTGAAATTTTAAAGAGATAAAAATGTGATTTTTTTCTGCATTAATTGCTTTTGTCTATGGTTAAGCACATATGTTAGGGCTAAAGACAGAATGTGTGCTACCATCTACAATTGTTTGACAATTCATTAAAGAGTGTCATGTTTACACTTTCTAAAGAAGCTCACATCTTAGTTGTTTCTGATCAGCCATGTTTTAGCTTTAGAAATACATGAAAACTCCGCTCACCATTCATGGGGTCTATGCTGTACACCAGGCTCACACACAACCGTGTGTCTGTGTGTGTGTGTGTCTGTGTGTGTGTGTGTGTGTCTGTGTGTTTCCTTTCTCAAAATAGAGCTTTGACCAACAAAAGCAATTGCACTTTGAATTTAATTTTATCTAACATCATGTAATTATACTCTCTCTCTCTCTCTCTCTCTCTCTCTCTCTCTCTCTCTCTCTCTCTCTCTGCTCTGTCATGCACACACACAGAAAGAATTGATAAGTTCATAGGACACAAATGGGAACTCTCAGGCAGATGCCTAAACAAATAAATTGATGCCTTTAGCAAACATATCCAAAGGAGAAATAAATAATCCAAGTAGAGTAAGTACTGGCATATTTTAGCAATTTACTTGGGAAAATTTATGATACAAAGACTGGGGGATTTGGGGGGTGGCTGGTGGAGGGACAAGGGAGGAGAGGTGGGAGAGGGAACTGGGATTGGCCTGTGACATATTCATGTTTCTAATTTAAATAAAAACATATATTGAGGAAAAAAAGACTTGAAAGTAAACACAGGAACTTTGCATTTTGTTTTTATTGTTTCTTTTCTTTACCTCTTTTTCTTCCTCCTTCCCTCTTTGCCTCCCTATTGTTCTCAGTTTCCTTCTCTCCCCTCCCTTCTCTTTCCCTTGCTTCCTCCCTTTATTCCTCCCTCCCTCCCTTCCTTCCTTCCTTCCTTCCTTCCTCCTTTCCTTCCTTCCTTCTTTCCTTCCCTCTTCTATTTTGAAACAAGGTTTCTTGTAGCTAGAGTTGCCTGAACTTGCTAATAGCCAAGAGTGCACTTGTACTTCTGGTCTCTTGTCTCCACTTCCTAAGTGCTGCTCTTTTAGAAACCTAGCAAGATGTCTGATTTACTTCATAGCTAGCACTCAAACCCAGGACCTCCTACATGTTAATCAATTGATCTATACTCTTCCCATTTTATCTTTTATTTTACTGGGATATCATCAGCATAAAAGTAGACATGCATTTTCTTCTGGGTTTCAATCACAGGGAAGATGCTTCAGCCTCAGTATTGATTGAGTGATGACCTCGCCAGATCCTCTGGGCCATTTTCCTGGGACTTTAGTCTCCACATGGCTGTAGTCAAGTACAACAGTATATGGCAATCCTGCTGTGGGAGAGGAGATAACCCAGAAAAACATGAAACACACACCACTGGACTTTACCAGAGAATCTTGCCAAGTTTAATGTTAGGTAGATCTCCTGCCCCTAATGTGAACTCAGTAGTTGTAAGATTTTGTCTAATCTTTCAGACTAGGTTTTTTTCTTTACATTTCTTGCATCCTTATTATGTCATTGGATAGATGATGTCACTTCAGAGGATTTAGATTCTTTACAAATGTGATTAAACTTGAATATCTTATATATAACACTCTAGTGCTTTGCATGTATCTGCCTCTTGTGACATAGTGAAGAGACACTATGCATTTTTACTTCAAATGATGAAAACACTTCTCCTGAAAATGAAAACTATGCTTGGTCTCAGGCTCAAGGATATCAGGAATTCACATCAGATTTCCATCAATACTTCTTAGATTAAAATTCAAGGAAATTTAGTAACAGCATACCTTGGAGATTATGTGTGTCTTTCTGTCTTTTAACCAAAGTCAAATAGGCAGAATCCTAAAGTTTATGCCAGACACTTACCTTTGAACAACCAAAATGATCTTTTAAAAGAATGAATGGGTTATCAATCGAGCAATCCAGTGCTGATTACAGATGTAATGATGAAATAAAACTGTGGTAATCAGATTGGGATTGCCTATAATATTACTTTGGTATTGCAAGTTTGACTTCTCTTACGGGTTGATAGGCAAATCCATGTAAGCATGTGATTGTGTTTTCTTTGTATAAATAATGAATGGGAACATTCACTGTGCCTGGACCCATGTCAGATCAATGACTGATTTTAACATCAGAACTCAGAAATCAACATGGCTATTAGCTAAGCTTCAACTCATTGACTTTCCTATAATGAGATGTGCAGAATTCATTCTTTAGTTCTCTTTATTTTTGTGAGAATTTTGCACAAATCTGATTTTGCAGCCCCTCTTCCTGAACCAATCAAGCATGTTTACAGGAAACTGCCATCATTGTGGAAAGCAGCATTGGTCAAAATGATGTCAAGGAAATCTGATGAGAACATTAGAAACATAGAGGAAGATGTGGAGGATAAAATGTTTTATAAATTCACTTGAAAACAGTATGCAGTTAAAATTACAAAATAAAAACAGCAGAGGAGCCAGGAGCTGGTACAATGGAGAAACACTTTAATTCCTTATCAATACATTCAGTCGGTCTCACAACAAAAGCTGGGATATGAAGCTCCCTGGCGTTAGATGTATAAAAAAAAAAAATCAAATGTGAAAAAGGTCACATCAAGTTTACAAAATGCTTGATCTTTCTATTAAAAAAATGAAAAAACTTAATCTTTCTTCAGCTTAGTATAAGATGAAGGATTTCCAGACAGATGACAAATGTTAAGAAAATTCTTTCAAAGGCCGGGCGGTGGTGGCGTACGCCTTTAATCCCAGCACTCGGGAGGCAGAGGCAGGCAGATCTCAGTGAGTTCGAGACCAGTTTGGTCTACAAGATCTAGTTCCAGGACAGTCTCCAAGAAAATTCTTTCAAATCAGGAATAGCAGTTTTGAAAATAGACATCTAAGTGTAAGAAAACGAAATTACTTGGGGTACCAAGAAATGTATGTTAAGCCGGTAAATGATTATTAGTATTTGCTGGAAAAAACCTACAAAGTGCATTTTAATATTTATGCTATAACTTTGCTATAGTTTAATCAATTAGAGGCTTAAATAAATTTTACTTTGCAATGGGGCCCAATCATCTTATATAAGATACTTAAATAAAAAGTTGAACTATGGTCAAATAATAAATAATAATGACCACTGAAAAATGAATGAAGGACTATTGGCAAAAATAAAAGTTTCCCTTAATAGAAGCCAGCTTACTACAGATCTCAAATTTAATTACTACTCACCATAGCCATATGATTCAAAAAATTGTGATTTGGGTAGGAAGGGACATAGTTGCTAAGACAGCAGCTATTAATACCAATAACTAATGCATAAGCCTTTGGCGATCTGAAAGATTGCAAAGTCATTCGGAAAAGAGGTTCATGAAGTACCACCAGAAAGAACCAATGTGAGTTTTGGATTTACTTCACTAAGAATTTGTTCAACATGTCCATATTAAAGAAAAATCAAGTAACAGTCATTGCAAAGGTGGATTTGTTAGTCAAGGATGACTCAGATAAAATGCCACTTTTGAGTCTATGGCAGTAATTTAAATTCATCTGACACCCACTCAGTTTACTTGATTAGAAATGAAATTTGGCACCATAATGATGGCTCAGTTGTTAAGAGAGTATAACCTTGCTCAGAACCTGGGTCTTCTAGTACCCAGGTCATGTAGCTCACAGCTGCTTATAATTTCGGCTGCAAGGACATCTGATGTAATTAGCCTCCTTGGATGCCTGCACTCATGCACACATACCCACATAAAGACACATGTAATTACAGACAACTCAAAATAATGGAAAGAAATTACATTTTTAGAAAAAGAATCAGACCCCCGTTGCACAAGTTTTTCCTGGGGAAGCTTAAATAAATGTCTACTTACCAACTTACCAATTAAGAAATGATGACAGACAGACCCAAGAAGCAATCCCTGTCAAGTCTATCTTGAGACAACTCATAGGACCAAGAATGACTTAAAAGCCCATTATCCCCTTGAAGCCAGCTTCATAAAGCTTCTCAACTCAGAAAACCTGCCCAATATGCAAATAGTTCTGCTGGAAGGAGTCTTCTCTGTATGATAAATAGTGTTGATAACTTGGCAAGTAGCCTTGAGAATAGCATAACGTTTTTTGAATTTTCTGAGACTGGTAAATTTGATGAGCTTTCTGAGTTTTTGAGTTCCTTTATGTTAAGAGAAGCTTTTTCTTTGAGAGAAGCCTTTCTGCCCGCCTGGTTTCAGAGCCGCTTTCCTGCCAGCCTGGTTCTAGAGCCGTTATCAGTCCCAAGTAAACACACAGGAGGCTATATGAATTATGAAGCTGTTGGCCTTGTTTGTCTCTTACTGGCTAGCTCTGCCTTAAGTAATTACCCCATAATTGTTAATCTAAGTATGTTTCTTACCGGGGAGGTTCCAGGCTTCCTACCCCAATGGCGGTTACATCTCGAACTCTCTTGTGTTTCCCCTTCCCAGAATCCTCCTCGACTCCTAGCCCCACCTATCTAGATTCCTATTGGCCAGACAGTGCTTTATTAGCATAAGAGAGTTCCAGATGTAACCGCCATTGGGGTAGGAAGCCTGGAAACCTCTCCGGTAAGAGACATACTTAGATTAACAATTATGGGGTAATTACTTAAGTCAGAGCTAGCCAGTTAGAAACAAGCAAGGCCAACAGCTTCATAATGAATATAGCCTCCTGTGTGTTTATTTGGGACTGATGAGGCTCTAGAACCAGGCTGGAGCGGCAGAGCCCAGGCGACTGGCGGGGGGATAAACCAAAGCGGCTAGCAAAAGAAAAAGCTTCTCGTAACATAATGGTTGTCAGGAGTGGGATTGAATTTCCACGCAAAACAACAAAAGCTTTAAAGGAATTTTAGAAACAGAAGAACGGAGAGAAGCATAGATTTTGGTAGCAGCATTTTCTCAGGTGTGCTCTGTTTTGCTAGCGACAAGCCGAGATTCACGTGGCTCGCTTACCGGAGTCTTCCTGACTTGGCATAAAAAGAAAAAAAAAAGAAACCAGCAAGGTTGTTTTAAGAGACTCTGCTAACAATTAAAAGGCGTGTACATACAGCTGGAAGTGGCAGCTTTTGCTGGATGTCAGCATGGACTGAGGCGGTAAGCTGGAGTCATGCTTACGCCCGCCATCTTGAAACGGCAGTTTAAAACAGCCGCGGTTTTACAGATAAGACACGTGGCCAGAAAAACGTAAAGATTTACAGTAAAGTCAGACTTGGATAAAGAAAAACCTCTAAAGGTTTACAGTGTGTTTAAAAATATATGGGAGATTGATAGAGAAAATGAAATGGCAAAGTGGTAAATAAATACAAAAGCCGGCGTTGTGGTGGCGCACGCCGGTAGGTTTGCTCCAGAGGCAGAGGCAGGCAGGTTTCCAAAGAAACCCTGTCTCAGAGAAAAATAAATAAAAGTAAAATAAATAAAGTAATAATAAATAAATAAATAAGCCACGTAAAGATGGAAAATACACAGAGAGTCTGGATACTGTACGCTATTATGTTTTTCAGTTTTTTGCTTGCTCAGGAAGGAACTGCTGCTAAAGTACACTTGATTATAAATGCTGCTGAATTAATCCAACTTCTATCTTTTAAAAATGCCTTGACTTCAAAATTTAAGTGTAAGGATATGTTACTTGGAAAAGGAGTTTTTATTTATGTTTCTACAGAAAATGAAAAGCTAAGGATTCCTTCCAGGCTTTTGTGGTTTGACGAACCAAGACCCCCGGAAGCAGTGGACCAGGTGTTCCAACAATCGAAACAGCGAAGATGATGCAGTCTTACAGACCCCGAAAATATGGACTTATACAGGTTTCTGAGTTTTGTCATGATCCCCATGGTATAAACAGCGCCCCCTTCCAGCAGGAAGCAGTTTGGAATGAGCGACGTCCTAATTCCCATCTTGTTTATAAATCTTTGTTTTCATTTAAATGGGGTTGTTTATAATTGGCTAATGATCACAGCCAATCTTTTTTAATGGTAAAAAGGGGAATTATGGTATGGGTATTGTTTTTCATTTATTGAGACAAAATCAAGGTCAATTTTATGATGCTTAATATTGATTAAGTATTGTGCTTATACTGATCTTTTACAACGCAATGCATAATTGAATACAGACTATAGATAGTTACTTATAATAGAATTTCTAGTTACATAAGTTAGGTTTCTAGATATACAGAAATATATTTGAGATGGACAGTCTTCAAACCTCTCAAAGACCTTCAGAACATGGCATTTAAAATGGTTTAGGGTTTGTCTTGACAATGAGAAATGTCTGCTCCTGGCAGCACCAATTACGTCTGAGAGGAAGATGGGCATCGAAGAAACTCGTTATAAAGTTTGCTTTCAACATGGCAAGATTAGCCATTTGGGCAAGAAACTGCTCTTGCCTAGATTGTTTGACTGTTGTTGTATCATCTGGACATGCAGGACCCACAGGAAAGTGACTAGTGAACTCAGTCTTACAGGGTTCCTGCTTGATGAAGAGTCTACAAGACTTTCTGCAGGACAAAGAAAAATGACTGACAGACTGCCAGCACAGATGGACAGTTTGAAATTTCCTGCTTTGCTGAGAAGTGTTCCAGACACATTGTGGCCTATGGGCTGAAGATGGATGCCCCAACATTACAGAGGAACTTCGGGTGACTGTCCAGGCAGTAAGATGTCTCTGTCAATCCTAGTGTTTATATATTATCCTTCTGTGGTCTTTGATGGAGTTGAAGACAGATACTTATAATTATAGTTTTCCTTAGTTATGATAAAAGATAAGCTACATATAGGACTTTGGACTCACAAGGATGGGATGGATATTTTCTTTAAATCTTGCTAAAATATTGTAACTATGTTCTTATTTGATAACGGTTCTGTTATATACAATTTGACTATGTTAAAATTAAGACCTTTCTTTTGTTTAAACAGAAAAGAGGAGATATTGGGGAAGTCCTGTTATTTGTCAATAAAGTACTGTTGAGCCTATAGAAAACCTAGATAGGAGGGACTAGGAGTCGAGGAGGATTCTGGGAAAGAGAAAGACAAGAGAGTTCGAGATGTAACCGCCATTGGGGTAGGAAGCCTGGAAACCTCTCCGGTAAGAGACATACTTAGATTAACAATTATGGGGTAATTACTTAAGTCAGAGCTAGCCAGTTAGAAACAAGCAAGGCCAACAGCTTCATAATGAATATAGCCTCCTGTGTGTTTATTTGGGACTGATGCGGCTCTAGAACCAGGCTGGAGCGGCAGAGCCCAGGCGACTGGCGGGGGTAAACCAAAGCGGCTAGCAAAAGAAAAAGCTTCACTTAACACTTTAGTCTTTGAGTTTCTGAATTTCCCTCTCCCCACAGGAGCAATTTTCAATTGGAAAGGAAGAGCTACACAACATGCCCTGAAGGAGCTGCTCCAGTTAGTCAGCTGGAAGTCCACATCTGCAATTTTAACAAGTTCTCCAGCAGGGAAAGTTACAAAGGACATTAGTCCTCACTTAAAGATACAATATTCTACAGCTCAAGTGCAGCTCTAATGTCCGTATTCCCAGTTTGGAGTAATGGAGAAAAGTCCTTGTAATTTTGGAATCAAAAGAAAAGACTACTGTCAGAAGCTACATGGGAGGAAAGTTATATGTGCAAAAGGCTCTTCTCCATTTTTTTCATGTTCTGGGAAGTTCCCACATGCACACACATGTGCATGGAATTAGATCTCATCCAAAAAAAGTATGTGCAAGTGAATATGCTATTCTTCTCAGTGCATTTAAAGAAAACTCCATACTTCTATACTTCTCCCCAACGTCATTAGTGTCCCATAATGATTATCAGAAAACACTAAGCATGTTTTCAAGTTGAAAGAACTGCTATGAGCCATCCACAGATGACTGACACTTGCTGGTATGGATCACTCATTACCCGTGAAGCATTTAGTAGAGGCACTTTAAGATGATAGAAAAACAGTTCCTCTATAAAATACATTGTCATAATTCATTGCAATTAATTTTATTCAACTGTTCTCATTGATCAAGAAGTAAAGTATTACTTTAAAACTTCTTTTATTTGTATAGATATTTTATCTTCACATATGTCTCTGTGTCATGTGGGAGCTTAGTACACAAAAAAGGCATAATAGGACACCTGATCTCCTGAAACTAGAATTACAGATGTTTGTCAACTGCCACGTGAGGCCTGAGAATTGAACCTCAGTCCACTGTAAGAGTGGCTAATGCTCTTAACAGCTGAGCCATCTCTCTAGCAGCACAAGTATTACAATTGTCATTGTAGCTAAGGCTGACTTCAAACTCTGTGATCCTAAAGCTGATCTTGACACTTGACCCCTTGCCTCAGCCTCCCAAGTACTGGAATGTCATGTGTATGTCAATGGCTGTGTCTAAGCAACCCTGTGCAATGAATTTATCTTCCTCATCTATAAGTAAGATGATGGAGGCAGGAAGAGAACATATTCCTGACCCCTGGAATTGTGGAAATTACCACAATGAAATAATTGTTCACTCTATAACAAGTAATGGCATGACATGCAAGAGGCCCAAAAGTCAATTCTACAGATCCTAGAAATGTTCCCCTGAGAAGATTTGAAAAGTGCCTGGAGCTCAGAGACTGTTCTCCCAGGACCAGTCTCTGAGTGGATCTTCTGAATTTGAAATTCCTGGGTCCTGGCACATGCTGAGCATTCAATCTCTCACCAACTGTACAGATAACAAACTGGAAACACACCCAGGTCAAGCATCTGATAGGGCAATGAGGAAATTACCCCTCAAAAACAGGTGTGCAAAACTACGATGCACAGATACTTGACAAGGAAAGCGAGTGCTCTGGGACAGAGAAGAAGAGGAAGCCTGGTGACAGCACTCCCATGTTTTCTAATGTGGGCAAGGCTGGGTAGTTCATGGGACTCTGGCCGCAGAATGCTGTGTTTGGGTATGTGTAACTATGTGACAGCCATTGGGCTATCACCATGAGTAAAGAGTATTGCCGGGAATTGGAATAAAGCAGTCACAGCTGGGAGATACTTCGCAATATTTATTTTTTCTGATACATGGATGAATGACCTTTGCTCCACCTGAGGGATTTTTTTGTTTCATGTGTTTAAGATGGTTTGGAATGCTTGTTTGACAACTGCACAACTTATCATAAAGAGCAGAGCTAGTTAGCGCACCCTCCACCGCGTGCTTTCTTTCCCCTTTTTCCCTCTTGCTTCCATTTTCTTTGGTGTTATAAGAATATATATAACCCAACTTGTTAGCAAAAACATATTATTAATTATAGACTTATTGTAAATTAGCTTTCAATAACTTTTCACTTTACATAATTTAATATTCGTATCTTTTGACTTGTTTCCACATCTCTATCTCAATCCTGGTAAACCATTAATCTGTGTTTTTATCCTATTGGTCTGAGTTTCATTCTTAAAAATGTACTTTGACAAATGAAATGATACAGTATTCTTTTTTTTTCCCTGTGGCTGACTTATTTTCCATATCATAATACCATTTATTTTTATACATGTTTTATAACATGTCACGATTTCCATTTAAAATTGAAGGATGTCCCAGTACCTGTGTAAACCTGAATTCCTTGATACTCTAATTCAACAAAAGAACCTTGTACGGCTTTCACATCTTACTTAGTGAACAGTGCTGACACAAAGGAAAGAGGACCATTTAGAAGTGAATTAAAATGTCCTCCATAAAAACAACTGGAAGATATGCATAATATTGTTTTTAAAAGCCACGGAGAAAACATGGTTTTCAGAATGACTATGGTATGAGCAGTCTCCTACAGGCAGTTCATGTTCTGGGCCTCAGCTGTGTCTATCTGCTGTCATCCTCCACTGAATTCACGCTCGTGTCATGAACTAGCAAGGGAGTCTGTTAATGACAGACCATAACCAAGGCACTACCACAGTTGTTCTGATGGTCAAGACTCCACTGCAGATGGCTTCAGCAAGGATCTCCCAGGGGCTTTCAGATCTGTACTCTGGTGTATTTTAAGCTTTAGAATTTAATGTTTGCCTCCCTCTTTCACAGCTGTAAGAGTCATTGTGTTTGAATGGCAGTCCCCATGTTTCTTTGTTTTTGCATCTTAATGTTTTTTATTCAGATAGAAATACATCACTCCCACCTCTGTCTCACTCCCTCCAGCACCTCCCAGCTACCTTCCCTCAAGCCCCTCCCTTGCACCCTGCTCTCAAGGTGACAGTCCTTGTATTATGATCCTCTTTTAGTATTCACAGTTACTTTTCTAACACATTTTCTGCGTGTATAGTACTGTTTTCACATCTGCTTCTTAGAGGATATGAACTGAAACACTAGCAGTGATTATAAAGCAGACAATAACTTTTATACCCTTAATATATCAGTTGATATAAAAAGTCCTGCCTCCAATATTATTTACTTTTCAACAGATGTATCACTAAGTATGGAGAATCACCAAAGAGGTTTTAAAGACACATTAAACAAACGTTTAGTGTTTGTTTCAATATTCATTAATCTCAGTTAACCGCCAGTGGTTTTAGTTAAAGACATCACAAACTAACTAAAAATTGTTGCCAGTGATAGCCATGATTAATGTAGCCTATTGAATGGTGGAAACATTCCTTAAACTGTGAAAAGATAATAAGGGCATAATAAATAATTCATTACAAAATGGTCCTTAGATGTTGTTATTTCTAATGGAGATTGTTTCAGTTAATCGTATAAAACAAATTAAATTGAAATGTTATGAAATGATGACTCTTGTTCTTAATGTCTATTTGAAATGAAAAAATGATGTGTTTGTAGAGATGAAAAAAGTAAACAAAGTATCAAAAAATTGAACAATAATCATATTTAAAAAACTTTCTTGCCAAATAAGCTTCTATATTTGCTGCAGCTATAAAAAGATGAGTTCACAAATAACACAAAAAGGAAAGACATTTATCCTACCCATGTACTACTTAAAAAGTATAATGTTTAAATATAAAATCTGTATGAACATGTAATATCAGTTTGGATGATTAATCCATTTGAAATGGATATGAAGCACATTAGCCAGCAATTCAGACAATGTTATTTTAAAATGACTTTGAAACAGAGCATTATTTAATGCACCCAATTATGATAGATTTTGGACAGAATTGAAACTTGCATACCGACTCCTTGGAAGGAAATTAATTTAGTATAATAATGTTTTCAATTTAAACAAGTCTCTTTCTGAAGTAGTGTTGTGACCAAAAGGCTGAAAGCCAATTACAAATACATAAGAAAGAAATGGGAGGTCTCTTAATTGTTTAACAATGGAATATTTAAATGGTATTAAATTAGCTGGAACATCTGAAATGCAAAGATCTTATTGAAATATTTAATAAAGACGATTTAGTGAAATATGTTACATATTATAAAAATATCAAGAAAGTTTTTTTATGTAAAGACTTTCACTTGCTTTCCATGCTGACTCTCCTATGTTTAATCTATGTACTCTAAAGCACCTCTGCCATTGTCATTTGTCTCCTGTTAGATTTCTATCTAGTTCTTTCTGGACCCTAAGACCTTTGTAACTTATATAAACTGAATCATTTCCTCAGTGTAAATGTGTAGGTTGGATTTTGTCTCTGAGATTTCTGCTTCTTCTTGTTAATGTTGGTCCAGTGGTTCCTTCCTAGTTTTAGCAGCCGTGCGTTTAAATCTGATGGTGCTGGCAATTGATGACCACACTGTATCATGGCATGACACGAGCTGAGCCTTTACATTTACCATGAGTTGCTTGTCTGAACGCTGAATAGAAAAAAGCAAACTCTAATGCGTTTTAGCCATTATGCTCAACACTTTGATACAGCAACTTGTCATATTTCTTTAAAACTGTAAATAAGAAGATTGAATTTGAGTTCTACAAACCTTTGGTAAACCCTAGTCTCATGTATAAACACAAGGAATTAATTTGAAATTATCCTGTCTAGTCTATGTTATTGATAATATTTTCTTAACTTCCATAGTCTAATTCTCCTTAATATGTTAGCCTATGCCAAGAAAATTTATATCTTTATTTATTATCTGGTATTAAACAAAAGAACAAAATATGTCTCATTTATTGACTACTACTATTACTTATTGTTCTCTAATTTCATAGAAGAGACAGCTTCTGATTTTAAGACAACACATGAGCTATGAAACATTTCAAATATCTCTTATTGCATTTTCTTGTTTAGTCACACTCAAGGAATTTATATTAAAATGCTGCATTGTATTTCAGATTAATTTTACATTTGCTTTTATATCACAGACATTACATATAATTTTAAGATGTTTTTTAGTTAGCCTATATTTTTTATTTCAGGATTGTAAAGGCTCTTTCTGACAACTTATACATATAGTCAAGTTTATTTAAAAGAATTATGCAATAAGAGTGAGTATTAGATTTGAAAATTTTTTAAACTTTTAGGATCTTTTTAATTTTGTGTATATGCACATACGTACAAGTGCCCATTTGGAGAAGAAGATGACATCAGTTCTCTGGAATTAGAGTTACAGGCAGATGTGAGCTGCCGTAATTGGATGCTGCAAACCTAACCATGTTCCTTTTGCAAGAGCAGTGTTTATTCTTAAGCACTGAGCATCTCTACAGTTGTTTGATTTGGAAATCCCGTAACTGTTGAATCTGCATGCCAAAGTATCTTTCAAGAACACTTTACAAATACAATTACTGCTATCTCAGTATGTACCACCTGTTGTAAATGCAATATTCTATGCCAAAATATTGGTGTCCTATTGATTAGAATTCCACCAAGTTCTAATTAATAGGCCTTAAATTATGCAATATTGATGGAGCTACTTCAAGGATAAAGCTTTCAGTGGGGAAGCTAGACTATAGTCCAGTAATGTTACAAGGGTGTTACTGGATGACATCATGGATGACATTTCATCATCCGTTCCAATAAAGCAGAGGTGCCACAAAAGCAGAGAAGCATGGAAACTCAAAAGAGAGAAGGGAGTCTGAAGGCCCCATAGTAGTAGTCAAAAGTATTTGAGAAAAGCTGCTAAAAGAAAAGAAGAAAAAA